TAGCCTCCAGGGGATAAAATCAGCAATTTATGCAACATACTTACAAAGGTTAGAGACCTTTGGCCCACGAACAGCAGCTGCCCCAGGAGGTGATGCATCTGGGACAGCCTGGGAAAGGGGTGTTCTGCAACAGAAAGACGACTCCAAGCACTGCTGAGTTCCATCAGTTAGTTAGGTAAAAGGTTTTGATCCAACAGATTGTTCCCAGCCCCTGGATGGGCAGATTAATTTAAATACTTAGTCAGACTCAATTAATGGTGTCACGACTTAACACAGTAGGAGCAGCCCCAGCAGGTAAATCTATGGGGAGCAGGGGTTGGAGGGCCAGAAATTGGGGACTGTCCGGGGGTGTGTGTGTGTGCGCACGTGCGTGCGTGTGTGTGTGTGCGTGTGTGTGTGTGCGTGTGTGTGTAGGGGGGGATGGATACGTGAGCAGGGTGGGTGCCTGCCCGTGCTGGGGGAAGCTGTCCAGATGCCAGGGCTGCAGCAGCACAGGAGGGAGGGGGAGGGCATCTGCCCCTCCAGTTTGACAGATGACTCCCTTGAGGGCAGCATGGAATGCCGTGTCTGGGCCAGTGGCACAGATGAAGAAGAGGAAGACCTAGGCCAAGATGGACCACCAACATCAAAGACTGGATGGGAGTAAAACTGACTGATTGTACAAGAATTGAAAAATACCAGGAACAATGGAGGGAAGTTACTGCTATATCGAAGATGCCCCAATAGTTGGTGCAGCCTCGGGCCTGTTTGACCGACTAGCTGAATATCACATTTGCTTTATTTATATGGCAAATGCCAACAAAGAAATTTTTATAAATTCTGAAGCAGGTTTTTAGAACTTTGTGAAAATAATCATTATTACAGCTTTCTTTTCTAATTTAGGACAAAACCAAAATGTTGAACTGTCAGAATTTCCCATAGAACAAAGCCTTCTATGTTTGCTCAGCTATTCAGGATAGATCCACAGTACTAGCAATGCAGTGGCTCACAAAGAGGTAGCTGGGGAATTTCCTCCCTATTATTAAACCTAATCCACTCGGCCAAGTGTTACAATCTCATCCAGTCCAGTTGCAAATTTTATCACTCTTAAAATTACTTCTGAAGTTAGAAATTCATTCTTAGGTACTTATATAATCCCCATCATTTAATTAATATCTAAATCACTTCATCATTAATGTATGCATGAACTTATCCTTAACACTCTTGTAAGGCAGGAATACTGCTAGCCCCATTTTACAGACAGGGAACTAAAGTAGAGAAGGTCTGATCCAAATCCCATAGGAGTTAGTGAAGGTCTTTTCATATACTGTACTTCAAAAGGTCTTCCTAGATTCTACTTAAGTGGATTTGTGTCAGGCACACAATGACTAAGGGGCCATAATTTTACACATGTTTATTGTAACCAAAAATATAAATAGGTGCTTTGCTGCATTTGCAAAAACACCTAGGCACTAACTTGTCCCCTCCAATACATTTTCACCTCAGAGATATTTTTTAAGTTTGATACAATTCTGGTTCATTGCTGTTTAGTTATCCAAGAATGAAAAAGAAGAGGTTATCCCCAGCTTTGAATTTCAGCTACTTTTCCCACATTTGGATAAACCAAATTCTTTATTCAATTAAACTTCATAGCTAGTACTGACAGTCCTTACTGCAGCTGCCTGAGATATATTTGAGAAATCATACTTGGTACATACTGCAGTTAAGTCTGTAAACACAGCACTTACAATATTACAATACCACATTCTCTATAATTCACCAAAATACAATACTTCAGATGTACATATACATATATCTGAATAGGTTACACTAACATAAGAATTTCTTATTTCAGAAGGCCAAATTGCCACCAGTACCCATAGATTTCAGCTGAACACAATCAGATACTTTGG